ACTCTCGCACACACGCACACACACACACACACCTTTCTTCGTCGGCAGCGAGGCGGGACGATCCGCTCCTGCGTGGCAGCGATGCAGGGGCACTACGAAGCGAATCGGCCGGCATGCACGAGGAGGGAAAGGAAGGGCAGGGCGGCCGCGGGGAGGAAGAGGAGAGCGAGCACTGAGAGGCAGAAAACTTCCGCCATGAGCAGCCAGAGCGGCCCGCGGGCGGCGGGGACGGCGTCCAGGGGGCCAGAGCGCCAGCCAAACGCACACACACAGCACACATGCACACACACACACACACGCACACCACACACAGAAACTTGTTGGCGTCGCGGCACTGCGCGCCGCGACAGGGTGGAACAAGTCCATAAGCAGCAAACGCACGCGCGACTGAGCACTCCCGAACCTTCAAAGACCGCTTGTGGTCCCGGAGCTGCCAGCAGCCATAAGCCGTCCGAGCGTGGAGCCCTGCCGCTGGGGCCTTCGGTGGAGCTCCCCATGGGGCCACGAAACGTGTGAGGGGTGCACCGACATGGGCGCGGTCGTCACGCATGCGACTCCTGACACTGGGCCTTTATGCAGAGCTCCTGATGGGGCCACGAAGCGTTTGAGGGGTGAGCCGGAGTGGGCGCGGTCACGCATGCGAATCCTGCTACTGCGGTCTCAGGTGGAGCTCCGTATGGGACCAAGAAACGCGTGAGGGGTGCGCGGAAATAGTGTGGAGAAGGCATGCGGGCCCTGGCACTGGGGTCTCAGGTGGAGCTCCCCATGGGGCCACGAAACGCGAGGGGTGCGCAGACATGGTGCGAAGAAGAAATGCGAACGCAGCCACTGGGGCCGCAGGTGGAGCTCCCCATGGGGACACGAAACGTGTGAGAGGTGCGCCGACATGGTGTGGAGACGGCATGCGAACGCGACCATTGGGGCCCAAGGTGGAACTCCCTATGGGGCCACGGAACGCTTGAGGGGTGCGCCGAGACGGTGTGGAGAAGGCACGCGAAAACAACTCTGGGTGGAGCTCCCTATGGGGCGCCGAAACATGTAAGGCATGCGCCGGAATGGTGTGGAGAAGGCATGCGAGCGCAGCCACTGGGGCGTCAGGTGGAGCTCCCTACGGGGCCACGCAACGTCTGATGGGTGCGCTGGAACTGGTGCGGAGAAGGAATGTGTGCGCAACCACTGGGGCCTTACTTAGGTGGAGCTCCCTATGGGGCCACGAAACGTGTCAATGGTGCGCCGACATGGTATGGAGACGGCATGCGAACGCAGTCACTAGGCCCTAAGAAGAGCTCCCTGAGAGCCACCGATTCGTGTGAGCTGTGCGCCAGAAAGATGTGGAGAAGGCATGCGAACGCAACCACTGTGACTTTCGGTGGAGCTCCTTACCGGGGCCACGAAGCGTGTGCGGGGTGCTCCAAAACGGTATGGAGAAGACGTGCGAACGCAGCCGCTGGGGCCTCAGGTGGAGCTCCTTATGGGGCCACGCAACGTCTGCGTGGTGCGCCGAAGTGGTGGAGAAGGCATGCGAACGCAATCATTGTGGCCCTTGGTGGAGCTCCCTTTGGGGCCGCGAAACGCGTGAGGGGTGCGCGGAACCGGAGTGGAAAGGCATGCGAACGCAGCCACTGGGGCCTTAGGTGGAGCTCCCCTATGGGACCACGAAACATATGAGGGCGCCGAAATGGTGTGTAGAAGGCGTGCGAACGCAGCCACTGGGGCCTGAGGCGAAGCCTGTGCGACCACGTAATGTCTGAGGGATGCTTGGAAATATGGTGGAGAAGGCATGCGAAAGCAGCCACTCGGACTCTGGGTGGATCTCCGTATGGGACCATGACACGTGTGAGGCATGCGCAGAAATGGTGTGGAGAGGCATGCGAGCGTAGCCACTTGTGCGTCAGTTGGAGCTCCCCATGAGGCCCCGAAACGTGTGATGGGTGCGCCGACATGATGTGGAGAAGGCATGAGGACGCAACCATTGGGACCCTAGGTGGAGCTCCCCTATGGGGCCGCGAATCGTATGATGGGTGCTCGGAACTGGTGTGGAGAAGGCATGCGAACGCAGCAACTGGGGCCTGAGGTGTAGCTCCCCATGGGGCCACGGAACGTGTGAGAGAGCGACGAAATGGTGTGGAGAAGGCGTGCGAACGCAGCCGCTGTGGCCGGTTGAGCTCCTCATAAGGGGGACACGAAGCGTGTAAGCGCTGCGCGGAAGGGCGGGGTGACCGCAGAGGTCCTCGCCAGAGCTCCCCGTGGGGGCACGACACGTGGGAGGGGTGTCGCACTGGGCTGGGCGACCGCATGCGCCCCCCTCCCCCCTGGCAGCTGCTGCGTACGGGGCCACGAAGCGTGTGAGGGGGTGAGCCAAAATGGGCATGCGGACGTCTGAGGCAGGGATGGGAGGGGGGAGGAGGGAGGAGCAGGGAGACGAGGGGCGCTCTCTCCAAAGCGAAGACCCAGCACCGCAATACGGTTTCGAACAGCACGACATCCGCACAAGTCAAGCCACCTGGCCCACCCCTCGCTCCCTTAGGAGGCAAGACCTGGGAGGTGTTCGCAAGAACAACGAAAAAGCTGTTAAACCCAATTTGGGGGCACTGAGCCGAGTCAAGCCGCATCGAGCGGGATCAAGAATGCACAGACGCATGCCGCAGCAGGACGGCTTGCGACCACGGATCCCGGCGCCGATGCTGAGCTCAACTCCCCAAGAGTTGCATAGTAAGACACATCCAATACGAGGATAACATCGGTCGAGGATAACTCGAGAATCTCTGAGGTCTGGCGGCTCTGGAAGATGTCTCGGGCGCCGCGGCCTTTCCAGAAAGCTCCGGAACGCTCGGAGAGCGTTCTGGACCGCTCTGGAACGGATCTATATTCATCCTGGCCCCGTCCGACATATGCAACCCACCCGGGCACCCTCCTCCTCCTCCGCCTCCTCGTCCGACATGTGCAACCCAACCGAGCATCCTCCTCCTCCTCCTCCTCCTCCTCCTCCTCCTCCTCCTCCTCCTCCTTGTCCGACATGTGCAACCCACCCGGGCATCCTCCTCCTCCTCCTCCTCCTCCTCCTCCTCCTCCTCTACTCCTCTCCTCCGCCTCCTCCTCCTCCTCCTCCTCCTCCTCCTCCTCCTCCTTTTTCTCCTCGTCCGACATGCGCAACCCAACCGGGCATCCCTCGCTCCCGGCTCCCTCGGACCTAGCCGCAGCCACAGGACGTGCGTGTGAAACTTCCGCAGCGCCGCGCGGTGCCCCACGGATACGTAGCTGGGCACGTGCTCCGCGAGGCGCTCGTACAGCAGCGCCTCGCTGCGGAGGGGGAGGAGGAGGAGGAGGAGGAGGGTAAGGACGGGGAGGAGCAGGAGGAGGAGGAGGAGGCCTCCCTCGACGGCTTTCAAAGATGAAGCGGGGCAGGAAGGGATACCAAGAGTAATCTAGATCGCTTGAGACCGCCACGAGATCCCAACGAACATCCACGAGGCTTCATACTGTCTGACCTCGGACAACTAAAGCACCCTGCAAGACCATGAGGCCCTCCGCTGGCCCAAACCTATCAACACTCGAGGCTGGCCCTCCCCAGCTTGCGCAGCATAAACGCCCATGTGTTTTGCTTCGAGCGATCCCCACCGAAACCTTCGGCGTATGTCGTGACAGGATATGTTCTGCCACGGTGTGCCATCATCTATGCTACGTAGTGTTCTATTGCGAGGTGTGGTGTTATGATATGTTCTGTGTGGCCAAGTACGTTAGCGTATGGTTGTATGCTATAGCATGGTTGCTGTAATACAGCATATGATGCCGCGCTGTGTAACGCTATCCGTTGCCATGATGCGTAATGCTATGTGATGTGAGTGTGTGTGTGTGTGATAGTTTGGTATAGTGTGTGATGATATGGTATGTGTTGTGATAGTATGGTAAATTATAGTATGGTGTATGCTCCGGCATGGCGTAGCATGCGTTGTTATGTTGTGCTGAGCTATGGTATGCTGTGTCATATTGCGTCATGCTGTGTCAGGTGATTGTTTGGTTTGTCCTGTTCTGCGTTGATGTGTTGTGGCATGTTTGCTGCGACATGGTATGTAATGATATGTGTCGTGATGCTTTGGTATGGTATGCACTGTTCTGTTGTGGGGTGCCTGTCATGTTTACGATATGGTCTGTCATGATATGGTATGTTATGCTCGGATATGTTCTGTTCGGTGGTGTGGTGTTGTGCTCTGTTCGGTGGGGGGACCTGGGGATCTGGCGGCCGCGGCATGCAGAGTGGGCGAGTCGGCGCGGGGGGCGGGACCACCAGGGATTATCGGGAGCCTGGGGATCTGGCGGCCGCGGTATGCGAGGGCAGGAAGGGTCAGGAGGACAGCTCCTAAAATCTAGCGGCCCCAGCCTGTCGGGCGGGGAACAGGCACGAAAAACACCAGGGCGCCCTCCCCGAACCGACCTCGATCTTCTACCCCGTCCGACTGCACCCACGACCCATGCACGGTGGCGGGATGGGCCAAAGGCCATTCGATAAATCTGCATCGTGCGAGGTCCCTCGTTCTCGGGCACCCATTCCTCGGGGCCCCACTCGGGGGTGCACTGATCCATGTCAATCCAGTGGCCAGACCCGGGTCAGTTTGGCTTTATAGGATCCTGCAAGGTCCTGCAGGATCCTACAGGAACATGCACCCAAACCTAGGTCAATGCACCCCTGGCTCTGCAGGATCCTGCAAGAAGATCCAGCGCTCTGACTGACCCCCATCTGCATTGATCCCCGTCTCTTGAGCCCCGACCCATCTTTGAGCCGCCGACACCGGCCCCCCCCTCCATTTCAGGCAGGATCCAATCAAAACGTGCAGTAAGGACGAGTGGTAAAGACGCAAGACCCCCGACTTGAAGGCCGAAAATGGGCTTGCCTGGGCGGCGGGCGACCAGTGACAACGGCCGAGGACGGGCCGCGGAGGCAAGAACTCAAGGGCACCCTGGATGAGGGCGCGCGTCCTCCCTGGGCGCGTGGACTGCACGCCAACTTCGACAGGACACGCGAGGGCCGCAGGCGCCCCCAAAGTCGAATCGACAAGTCGGATCGGCGATCGAAATGAGTCGGATCGGCGGAAATCGGCAGCTGAGTCGGGAGAAGTCGAATCGGAGGAAATCGGCAGGCTAGTGTGCCTCCAATAAGAAATCGGAGCCCAAATCGGAATCCGAAGTCGAATCGAATCGGCATCGGAAACCATCGAAATCGAATCGAATCGAATCGGAGGAATCGAAACGAGCCCGGGGGGGGGGGGGCACCAGCTCCGGGGGAAAACATCGAGCCTGCCACGGCGATGCACCACCGATGCCTCGGCGCCGGGCCCTCGACGGCGGACCCGCGCCTTCCCGGGGGAAGGCCACCGGGCCCCTGCCGGGCGAGGGACGGGCGCTCGGGGGCCGAGGCGTCCCTCCGGGAGCCCAATCCCCCCCGACGTTGCCCCCGACTCCCGCCCTCCCAACGCAGGGTCAAGCAGCATCGAAGCAGGAGGTCGGATCGAACACGACGCGCGGGATCGGGCCGCACCAGCAAGGAGTCGACATCAGGTCGGATCGTCTGCGCCAGGATGCACCACAGCGCCATACAGGCATCGTGCCGCATCGGATCGTCACAAAACCGGAATCGAATCGGTTCGAGCCGGCCAAAATCGACATCGAATCGGATCGATCGAATTGAATTGGACCCCGCCAAGCAACGCGAGGCCACGATTTGAAAGCCTGGCGGCTCCAATATAATGCGTGGAATGCTACGGCCGTTCCAGCGCTCCAGAACACCGTGATAGGGCTGGCTCTAGAACGAGTCATTCGTGTCCCGAGGTTGCCTGACCTTCATTCTCTCCCTGTCGCCTGCTCCGCCTCTTACTCCTCCTCCTCCTCCTCCTCCTCCTCTTCCTCCTCCCCCTCCTCCTCCTCCCCCTCCTCCTCCTCCTCCTCCTCCTCCTCCTCCTCCTCCTCCTCCTTATCCTCCTCCTCCTCCTCCTCCTCCTCCTCCTCCTCCTCCTCCTGCGCGATCCCTTGCTCTCTCGCTCCCCTCCCCTTCCTTCCCCTTCGCCCATCCCTAGCTCGACCCCTCGCTGCTCCTCGCCCCACCTCGCTCCTCCTCCCGCCGCCGCGCTTTCCTCAGACCACTCCTCTCTCCCGCGTTCTCCACCTCCGTCTTGTCATCTTCTCAACTCGTTCCTTGCTCCTGGCGCAAGTCCACACCGAACCTCACGACACCTCAATTCTTAGCGTCGGAGGTTTCGGGGGTGAGACCGAAGTGAAACGTGAGGTGTCCCAACGGGGAAATCGGGTCGATTCGTGCATGACGTGCATGCGGGCGACGCGAGGCGGAAATGCGCGCATGTGCCTTTGTTAGAACCAAGTTAAACAACAAATGGTTCCCAACGGCTGCCCGGATGTCCCGCCGGATGTCCGGACGATTTTTCCCTATGGATGTCCCTATGGTCCCGATGGTTGTCTCGCTGTTTGTCCCGATGATTGTCCCGATGGTTGCCACCTATGGCTGTCCCGATGAATGTCCGATGGCTGTCCCGATAGTTGCCCCGATGGTTCGCACGATGATTGTCCCGATGGATGTCTCGATAATTGTTATTAATATGGCTGCCCCGATTGAAAGATAGTGAGATCGACTGATACAATGATCGTGGGATGGATTGGCAGATTGTGATCAGTTAATAGATGAATTGGTAAGTGAGGTAAACAGAACTTTAGTGATAGCGGCAGCACGATTGATAGCACGATCGGTACAATCTTTGAGACGAACAGAAGACGAACAGATCATAGAGCGACCCGGAGCTAAAAATGGTTGTCTCGATGGTTGTCCCGATTGTTATCCCGGTGTTTTTCCGCTGGATAATGAGATCGGGAACTGAATTGATAGTGACACTGGTAGATCGATGATACGTTGAAAGTGAAGAACAGATACATTGTTATACTGGTCATGCTGGTTATAGAGATATCGTCGGACACATGTTGAGATCGATATCGAATGCAATCGACCAAAAGCTAATCGTTGTGCCAGTGCCGACGGCTCCTCAAGCAGTATCGTACCACCGGCATGTTTCTGTTGACGTTCGGAACCGCCGTGGGATGGTTGGGGCAATCGCATCTGATGACTAGCCGCGTGTGCACTATCACATGCAGAGGTGCCGTCTTCAGCATCCTCCCCCTTCACCTTCTCGTTATCATCCTTCTCCTCTTGCTCCCCTTCTTCCTTCTCGCCCTATCGTTTCCTCCTCCATCCTTCCTCCCCCCTTCATCAACCCTCCCTCATCCATCCTCCATTCTACATTCCCCATCCCTCCCCACCTCCCTCCTCTGTCTGCCCTCACGCTCAGCCCTGCCCATTCACTCGATGGTCCTCCCCTGCATCATTCCTCCTCGACCCGTGCTCTCGTGATCCCCCCTTCCCTTCTGCCCTTGTCCCTCCCCCCCCATGTACCACCCTCCCTTCCCTACCGCCCTCCTCATCGATGGTGCAAACGAGGTCACCACAAAGGCAGATGCCCAGCTCGGCTCAAACCAGCACCAAGTGTGAGACACTCATAGAGGGAGAACAGAGAGAAGGAGAGAGACGTAGAAAGAGAGAGAGAGAGAGAGACAACACAAACAAACATCAAGCACTTGCAGCCTAGAAGGAGGGAGCCCCGCCCGTCCCACACCGCCTCCTGCCGCCCGTACTGCGCCCCCACTCTGCTCGCCCTCTTCTCTCCCGTCTTCCCTTCCTCCCTCCTGCTACCCTCGTCAAAGTTAACCTCAAAAGTTGCTGGCACGTCATTTCGATTTCGGCGCGCCCCTCAATGTCGGCACGCCGCCCCTTCAATGTCAGGGCGAGGGCAAAGATAGTCTGACCGAAGTTGTCTCGAAAGTTTGACGTCGACCGACATTGGAGGGGCGGCGCATGCAAGTACCCCGCACTCATCGATACTCGGCCCCAGATCTTCCGACAAGCAGTTCAACCACGTCAGACAATTTGGAGGTTAATTTTGACGAGGGTTGTGGCCCCCCTTCTCCCCCACCCCGTCGGGCCTCGTTGCCCCCGTCGCACGCCGAGGTGCCCTCGTCGATGAGCGCCAGCCTGGCCCCGAAGGCCAAAGGGGGGGTGGGGGCGCAGAGGCCCCACCGCCGACGTCCCCGACCCCATCTGCACAGGCGGCGTCTATGCCGACGACCTCCGACGGGCCGTGGGGGATGAGGAGGGGGGGGAGGAGGAGGAGGAGGAGGAGGAGGATGAGGAGAAGGAGGAGGAGGAGGAGGAGGAAGAGGACGGGGAAGAGGAGGAGGGGAGGAGGAGGAGGAAGGAGGAGGGATGAGGTATAGGAAGAGGAGAGAGGAGGAGGAGTAGGAGGAAGAAGGAGGAGGAAAAAGAGGAAAAGGAGGATGAGGAGTAGGAGGGAGGAGGGAGAGGGGGAGGAGGGGAACAGGAGGAGGAGGAGTAGGAGGGAGGGAGTAGGAGGGAGGGGGAAGAAGAAAGAGGAGCAGAAAAAAGAGGAGGAGGAGGAGGAGCAGGAGGAGGAGGAGGAGGAGGAGGAGGAGGAGCACTCGGTGCTTCGGTGCCCCTCGAGGCCTCGGTGCCTCTCGGCCTCTCGGGGCCACCGTGGCGCTGCCTCGGCGCCCTCCTGGGCCGTCCTGCGAGCCTGCTCGGCCGTGTGCGGCACATCTGCTGACCCTCTGCTGTCCTCTCTGGCGTGGCCTCCTGGGCGCCCCGCCCGGGAGGGCCGCCCCGGCGCCTCCCGAGGCATCCAAGGGCCGAAAACGCCACCGCCTCGGCCAAGGGGCCGCATGCGAACCCCACCCCTGCCCCCCACGATTTCTGAGTGAACCCCACCCTTCCCCTGAGAAATCGTGGGGGGTAGGGGTGGGGTTCGCATCAAGCTAGCCAGCTCGAGCGAGTCAATCATGGCATGCCCATTCCCACCCGCCCTCCCACAACATAAGAAACAGTGATGGCACAACTGGGGGCTGCGCGGGCATTTCAGTGTGAGTGGAGGATACCCCAGGACACCGCATTGACGTCCGCGCGGGATGTGCGCCGCGTCCCATTCCCGCCACGCATTTCGCATCGTCGACGACAAGACTGGCCATGTCGAAAGGAACAACGGACACGTTCCGCCCTCCCACAACATAAGAAACAATGCTGGCGCAACTGGGTGCTGGCGCGTAGTGGTAGTAGCAGTAGCAGTAGCAGTAGCAGTAGTAGTAGTAGTAGTAGTAGTAGTAGTAGTAGTAGTAGTAGTAGTAGTAGTAGTAGTAGTAGTAGTAGTAGTGCTGCCCCGGGGGGGGCCCGGACGAAAAAAAACCCGAGCACGTCCTGGCACGTCGGTCCCAGCGATGGTTTTCTTCTTCGGCGCTGACTTCCAGGTCCCAGAGTGCCCCAGGAAGGCTCCAAGAGAGCCGAGACGCCCCCGAGACGATCCGAGGGTCCCTGAGTCGCCGAAAGATCGTTCCAAGACGCCCAAAATGGCCTCCAGACGGCCGTAGCGCCAAGAAACCGCGGGGAGCTTCAGGAGGCCCTCCAAGAGCCTGAACAAGCAAAAACCTCCCAGGCATTCGTCACCCCAGGGCCTCCCGGAACGCCCCGGCGCCCAATGAATTGGCGAGCCAAAAACGTTCGCCGAGCCAGAGCGGGAGCGCAACTTTGAGACAATTTCGCTCGGCGCCCAAGCGGGAAGGTCATTTCATTCACTTCGAGCGGGGGGGGGGTGCCGCGCCCAATTCTTGCCATGCACTTTTGCGGGGTGGACGACAAGAACAGCTATGTGGGCAGGGAAAATCAGCATGGCATTGCTTCTGACAAGTAAGGTGGCCCCTCCCGCCTTGGGGTTGCCCCAGAAGTCCGCGCGCGCTGTGCGCCGCGCCCCATTCCTGCCACGCATTTCGCATCGTCGAGGACAAGACAGGCCATGATGAAAGGAAAAACGGCAACTCGGTATTGTTTTTTTGAAAATCAGGATGGGAGGGCCCGCAGCCCGCATGGACGTCCTTGCGCGATGTGCGCCGCGTCCCATTCCTGCCACATATTTCGCACCGTCGGCGACAAGGGAGGCCATCTGAGAGGAAGCAGCGGAGACTTCGTATAGATTTTTTATAATGAGAATTGGGCACGGATTGACGGCCGCGCGCGCGATGTGCGCCGCGTCCCATATGTGCGCCGCGCCCCATTGCTGCCACATATCTTGCACCGTCGGCGACAAGGCAGGCCATGCTGAGATGAAAAAACGAAGACTTTGTATTGATTTTTTACAGTCAGGATGGGCGGGCCCAGATTGACTGCCGCGCGCGATGTGCGCCGCGTCCCATTCCTGCCACGCTTTTCGCATCGTCGACGACAAGAAAGACGATGTTGAGAAGAAAAACGGCCACTTTGTATTTATTTTTTACAGTCCGGATGGGAGGTCCCGGGTTGGGTCGCTATCGGCCAGAATACGACGTAGGTGGGGGTATACTCTAATAAGGAACAAGGATATGGTCCCCTAGCTAAGTCCTGGGGGTGCGGAGGCAGTGCCTCCTCCCCCTCACGTGCAAAGCTTGGCTCGGCACCAACGGATCGGACGCTACGCGCGCGTTCGTTCACCTGGCTCCCCCGGATCAATAGCCTCGCCCGCGCTCGCATCCAACGACTACTTTGGGAGGGGCAACGAAACGCCGTACCCCAACGTCGCAATCTCCACCAGCACAAGCAGAGCGCCGTCATGGTGCAATGCGGGCTGGCAGCAGAGTGCGTAGCTCGCGGATGATGACGCCATGCAGATTCATCTCGCGGAGGTCGGCCAAACTGGCTCGGTATTGGCCGACCTCCGAGCACGCCGCGGCCGCGGTCGAGAGGTGGCCACAGCACGTGTACGAGGCAGCTGTGCATGCCCTTACCATCTGGGGGATGCACGGAGCAGCGCGCTCAATCCCGACCAAGAGCGTCCAACCTCGAGGCTGCCCATGGCACGTGAGGAGCGAAGGAGCCGCCCGACAGTCACAACTGCGAGGTCTGCGCGGTCTGCCAGCCGCAAGCGCGCCCCGAGTCGCCGTCCACAGCAGAGCGACAGGGCGCCTGCGGCACCGCGGACCGGGCTCGGCTAAGCGGGCGCTGCTCGCCGCGCGACCCCGCCGCCTGCTGCAGCCGAGGAGCCGGGCACGGGCAAGCGCGCCCGCACCGTGGCGGAGGATCGCACGACGTCCCCGCCTCTTGCGACGGCGCGGCCATGCCGCTTCAAGGACGAGAGGCCCAACTTCGTGCGTGAGCCAGTTCGTCTTAGCGAAGCTCCTTCTACATCGCGGCCCAGCCAGCCCAGCTCCAGCCCGCGCCCATGGCAAGATCGGAGGAGCAGTCAGCCCCCCGCCAACGACGCCTGGAGTGCGTGGCAGGGCTCCTCCCGCCAGGGCGGCAGCAAGGGAGCGGCAAGGGCGACCGTGGCAAGGGCGGTCGCGGCAGCTGAGGAGATCGCCGTGGCGACGGCTGGGATTGGCCCTCCTCCTCCTCCTCCTCCTCCTCCTACTCCTCCTCCTCCTACTCCCTGTCATCCTCCTCCTTCTACTCTCCGTCCTCCTCCTCCTCCTCCTCCTCCTCCCTCCTCCTCATCTCCTACCTCCTCCTCCTCCCTCCTCCACTCCTCCTCCTCCTCTCATCCTCCTCCGCCTCCTCCGCCTCCTCCTCCTCCGCCCCTCCTCCTCCGCTTCCTCCTCCCTCCTCCGCCTCCGCCTCCTCCCTCCTCCTCCTCCTCCTCCTTTCCTCCTCCTCCTCTCGTCTGCTCCTCCTCCTGCTCCTCCTCCTCCTCCCCCTCTCCTTCCCCCTCCTCCTCCCATCTCCTCCTCATCCTCCTCCTCCTCCTCCTCCTCATCCTCTCCTCCTCCCCTCCTGCCTCCTCCGCCTCCTTCTCCTCTCCCTGCTCCTGCTCCTGCTCCTGCTCCTCGTCCTCCTCCTCCTCCTCCTCCTCCTCCTCCTCCTCCTCCTCCTCCTCCTAGCTCCCCGGCATCCCTCCTCATCGCCCTCCTGGTTCTCTTTCTCCTCCTCATCCTCGGCTTCCCCGCTCCTCTTTCCTCCTCCTCTTCCCCTACCGAAGTATCGTAACGCTGAGCCGCCCCCATTCCTGCTTATCATCGTCGTCATTATCCTCTTCCTACGTCGCTCTGGAGCACGAGCCTTGCATGTATGAGGAGTTCTGGTTAGACGTGTTGGGAGGGCGTGGGCCCTCCAGCACAATGGCTGGTAATCCGTTCCGGCGAGCCCTGGTGTCCCCGTTCGGGCTTGTAGGGGACACTGAATAGATTCTGGCACTGCGGGACATTCGTAGTGAATGTTTCGAGCACGGCCCTCGCATGCTGATATGACACACTGCAACTTGCTCATAAGTAGTCCGAGCCTTCACCTCCCTCGCCCCCTCGCAGGTCACCCCCTGGACCTGCCCAGGAGCGCGCTCTGGCCAGCATCTCGGGGGGAACCGGGCCGTGGCGACGAGAAGCTCCTCCGAGGGCGGCAACGAAAGGAGACACAACGTGAGGCAGCTTCAAGCCTTGAGCCTCGAGCCTCCCGCTCACTCCTCCTCCTCCTCCTCTTCCTCCTCCTCCTCCTCCCTCTCCTCCTCCGCCTCCTCCTTCTCCTCCTCCTCATCTCCCTCCACGCCTTCTCCGCCTCCTCCTCCTCCTTCCCTCCGACCTCTCCTCCCGCCTCCCCCCACCCCCCCTCCCTCCTTCTCCTCCTCCTCCTCCTTCCTCCTCCCTCCCTCCGCCTCCGCCTCCGCCTCCGCCTCCGCCCTCTCTCCTCCCCCTCCTCCTCCTCTCTTCCTCTTCCTCCTCCTCCCCTCCTCCTCCTCCTCCTCCTCCCTCCTCCTCCTCCTCCTTCCGCCTCCTCCTCCTCCTCCTCCTCCTCTTCCTCCTCCTCCTCCTCCTCCTCCTCCTCCTCCTCTGCTCCATCTTTCTCCCAGGCGGCTGACAGGTGAGACGTGGCTGCCCTAGGTGCCGGGCGCGCGGGGAAAAGCGCCGGGGAGGGCAACGAGCGGGAACTAGATCGCACACGGGGGGCGCCCAAAGCACGGCACGCTCGCATCCTGGCGACTTGCGCCTTGGCTTCTGCCACTGCATTGGCTC